GACTTGCAAAGCAATGACTTGGTCCCACCTCTGGGTGCAACCCACTACTAAAGATATGTTATCTCATTAAAGGAAACTTTAATTAAAAATAAATTTAATTTGATTAAAAATTCACTTTTTATTTCTGTTTTTCTGTTTTTAGGGTATACCATTAGATGATTTTAATAAATTGGATTTTGACATGATTTTGATGAGTCCTCCTTGTCAACCTTTCACCAGGTAGGTCTTTTGAGGTTTATATGCACTATATGTGACCCAATTATAGGCACAGTCCTAGTTAAATAGCTGTTTAAAAGCGGCAGCCTGAGTCAAACTTGCCTCAGCATTGTTTAGCAGTCCTCTTAAATTCTGCTGATCAATCCAAGATATTCATAAATTACTATCATAACAATATAGTTATAGTTGAGATTAGGGTGTTATAATGGCAAAGTATATTCAGGTAGATAATAGTAATATTTTAGTAATCCTGGCTGTTATTTTATATTAAATTTAGAAGTGCAACTTTTAATAATATATTTTCAGCCATATATTTATTTCACTGGTTCATGTTGTTTTAATGGAATTTGCTGTAATTGTGCAGAGCCCCTAAAGCAGGCATGGGAAAATAAGATATTCATAAATTACTATCAGAGCCCCTAAAGCAGGCATGGGAAAACTTTTTGTCTGACGGGCCACAATGGGTCCTAAAATGTAAGTGCCGGGTCAGGAGCAGATAGATTACTGTAAGCACTGTGAGCTAAAATAATTGACATGTAAAAGTCATGCATAAAAGCTATAATGCTAAAATGCTTTTAGCCTTTTCTACGCCATCTACTGGGTAAATATGGGCATTGCATGGGAAAGGCAGAACTATAATGATAATTTTAATTTAAAATATAATTTGGACAGGTTTAGCGGGCTGGATCAAAAAGCCAAACAGGCCGCATCCGGCCCCCGCTCTGTAGTTTTTCCATGCCTGCCCTATGCAGACATCATTGACTAAAAAATAAAAAAAAGTGTGCCTGGGGAAACTATCACCTGAGCATGAGTTCCTACTGCATATGGTAGGTACATTTCTATTTTTTCATTTCAATTTTTTTCAAAAGTTAGAAATTAGACAGGAGTATTCACCGGGAAAAGCAAATTTGAGAATTTTTGGGTTTATTAAGATGTTGAGGCTATGTGGCTGGAAGCACGGCAAATAGAGCAGTGGCAGTTGTAAAAGCTAAGGCCAATGATGGGTGATTATGGAGGAAAGGAATGGGAAAAGGTTTGTGTTGGTCAGCTAAACCGAAAATTGATGGAAAATGGCATGAGGCAAACCAATTTTTTGTGTTTGTGTTATTCTGTGCAGGATCGGTCGACAGGGTGATATTCAAGACCCCAGAACCAAGAGCTTCCTCTATGTTCTTGATCTTCTTCCAAGGTTTGAAAGGATTAATGTTGCAATTTCTTTCTCTTTTCTTCTTTTTTTTTTTGTTAGCCAGAATAGAACACTTGACATTGAGTTCAGTTTTTTGCACTTTTGCGAGGTACTGAAGTATTACATTTTGTTGGTGTTCAAGCTTTGTCCAAACAATTTCACTGCATAACGTTTGCATGTATGTATTTATTTTACACCCTGCGACTTTTAAAAATAACACCATGCTGGCGTGCTCAATATCGGTCGGCCGATTATCGGACATCCCTAAAAATTACACATTACTAATATATTTAAAAAAAAAAAAAAATTAAACTATAATTATTATTATAAATTATAATACGAATTTATACATTTTTTTGAACAGACAGACAGAAATATACAACAACAAAGAACATATTCCATATTACAACTGTTGCTGTGCCTATATTGGAGAATAAAATTTTAATTCAAAAACAGATTAATGGATATCTTTGGATGACTGGAAATAATGGAGATTCACATAGGTAAATAAATCTACCACAGATTTACCCGACTAAAACATTTATGATATTTAGTAGACTAAAACTAGACGAATACAAAAAGATTTCAGATGATGAAAATATGAATAAAACTATATAGTGTGTTATTCAAAAGACTAAGACTAAGAATTTGCTGTCAAAATCACCACTGGTTGCCATGAGGTCATTAAACATTTTTGGAAGGTCTTGAAAAGTCTTAAAAGGGTTTTGAAAATGACTTCAGCATTCTTACATATACACTGTATAGAATGATCTACCTTAACATATTAAGGCACTATAGTACAAACAATTTTTGATGACACATTTCAAAAGCAAAAGAGAATTGGCAAAGGTAAAATGTAGGTAATCTAGATGCACTATGGAACAAACAACATTAAACAACATAGATCTTTACGAGTATTAACTGCATTAATTAAGTTTTATTTTATATTCAGTATTTAATTTTTCATGTGAATGTTTTTCTATTCACTTTCATATGGAACTCGTTGGCAGGCTACATAGACTGCCCCACTGGATCCTGCTGGAAAACGTCAAAGGCTTTGAGACTTCTTCGGCCAGGTAATTATGATAGGGTACAGTTGCAACATGATAAAGGGCAAGTAAAACTGTTTTAAAAGTTTATGCCGTATTTGTTTCTAATCAAAAAAACTACTAAAACAAACAACTGTACTATATAGATCCCATATTTGGGAAATTGTTGTGTTAGCAGCAGTTATGCTGTTAACAGGTTGCCCCTAGCATGCCCCAAGCATATGGTTCCTCTGGGAATCGAACCCAGGACTCTCTGCTCTGCTTTCAAGGCAGCCTTGCTAACCACTACACTATAGAACCAACGAAGTACATGGTTGTTTTTCTTTTGTTTTGTTTTACTGTTTTTGTATGTTTATTTCTTACAAGTAATGGAACTGAGCCAAAGCTAACCTTTAGCAAATAATAGAACAGTAATTTACCTGAAAACATTTACCGTTTTCACGCATCTTAAACGTGTCCGTTTTGTGCGAGCATTGCCACTTTTGGTCAGTTAGCAAGAGTGAGGTGTCTCTTTTTATTCTATGTTTTATATAAGGATGATTTATTTTTATTTTTATTTTTTGCTTCTACTCACTAGGGAATGTATGGTGAAAACACTTGAGCAATGTGGATATGAATTTCAGGAATTTTTGATCTCACCCACATGTGTAAGGATTGTCTACTGCGTATTTAATTCTTTTTATAATTTAGTGCATTTGTAATGTGAGGGCAGCTAAATATTGTAATTACCTTTTCACTTGTATTCCCAATTTCAGGTAGGAATCCCAAATTCAAGACTGCGTTATTTTATGATTGCTAAGATTCCTGCAGAAAACTCAACATTACTGACATCGATGGTAAGACTTCAGAAAGGATGTCAATTCAAATACCAATATTAAAATGTATAATTTGTATACCCTATTTTTCTAGACTGAAGTTGCGCTTTTTTCATTCTTTAGCTGAGTTTGCGACTTATGCACAGGTGCAACTTATATATTAAAATATATAATTTCACGTGTGTTATTTTCACACCGACAGCCGCTAGAAGGCACGCCAAGATTTTGTACCAGTATCTGCTACTCCTGTACCGTTGAAAATTTACGTTCGTTATTTTCACACTGACAGCCACTAGAGGGCACTGTAGCTGGCTGGTGCGACTTATAACTCCAGAGCAACTTATAGTCCAGGCAATACGGTATTGTATTTGTTATTTTAGCATATAAATTATCTGTTATAAATGGGTTACCTTTTCTGGCAAGCATAAGGAAATCTTTATCCTTACAAACAATAATGCAACTGTCACTTGCCAATTAATACATTTTTTTGGACAATAAAATCCTCAAAGTCGAATTAGTAAATTTTTTGGACAATAAAATCCTCAAAGTCAAGTATTTCAGTATTGTTTTCACTTTTCTAGATATTCCCGATCAAAAGGTTATCTTAACAAAGTATTCAAAACAAAACACATTCAATATTTACATGCTGTAGTTGTAATGCTTATCCAAAGTGTAGTAACGGGTTATTAGGACATGCCATTTTTATGTGCCAAATCCTCTCTGCATTCCCATGTTCTTTCTTCTTCTTTTTTTTTTTTCATAGAACTTAGATGAGAAGATTGAACGGATATTGTCTGACATGAAGTTGGATTGTGACACAGAAAAGGTTTGGTACCGTTGCTCTATAATAATTTTGCTATAATGTTGAAGTACAGGCCATAGTTGTGACATTAGTATTGTCGTACCACAGATCTCAGTTTTGAAAGAAAACTACCTTGGTGAAAAATGCGAGTCTTAAGTTCAGGGAGTGATTAACAGTAGCTTTCGGTTAACATACCACAGAGCAATTCATAAGTTTCTACTGCTGGCTTGTTTATTTAGAACATTTGTAGCTCGAAGTGAAGGGCGTTAGCCCGGGGGCTAGTGTGCTCTGAAGCTAGTGCTAGTGCTCTGAAGCAGGAAAGAGCTTATGTATAACCAGCTGTGTTACAGACACTGTTCGGAAAAAAAAAATCATTTATTTAATTAAAATTTAAAAAAGAATGTGGACACCAGTGGCTTATAGAGAGGTGCAGCCTGTATATGTACAATTCTTTTTTTTTCTTTTTAAATTTAGTGCATGCATCTTATATTCAGGTGCACTCAATAGTCCGGAAATGATGATACAAGTATAGATAACAGAAGAACGGTTCAACACTTTAACACTCAAAATCAAACCAAGTCTAAGAAGTAAAATCATTTATCCCTATTCAGGAGCTGCCGAAGGCCTCTGCTTTAATCAGCGCAGGCCAACAGGAAGGGGAAGTGAAGAAAGGTCACGTTCTTTATAAACTGGAGACTGCGTCTGATGCTCAGAGGAAGACGAATCAAAACAAAGACCACAACATCAGGCAGATTCAAGACTTTCTTGAACCTGAGCCGGAAAAAAACATGGAACAATACCTCCTTTCCCCGAAAACCCTGCTGCGATACGCTCTTCTTCTAGACATCGTTAAACCCACATGCAGGCGATCTGTTTGCTTTACGAAAGGGTAGGTACACATCTGTTACGTTATACATTTACAGTAATAGCACCCAAGCTGCTGGAATTATGAAGGGATGCCTCATTTGCTTACTTACGTTTTTCTTTTGTTGCTTAATTTTTTTTTTTTTACAAAATAATCTTGGATTATTTATTAAGTAAAAGCAAACATTTTTTCATGCATGAAAAACAATACTTCTTCTTCTAGCGCTGTAATCTCCTTGTTGACTGGTCAATTTGTTAGTCGATACAATCTGGCTCGACCAAGGTTATTCATTGTTTATCTGTGTTAATTTCATTAGGGGAAAAAGTAACTGACGAGGGCGTTTTCAGGGCACCCCGGTTACAGTCTGTCTCCAGAACACCCCCTTGTTCACACTATCATGGATTAGCCCGACCCACAGACAGACAGACAGATGGAGGAACATACTTCTTAGAAGGTTCAGAAAGCCTAAGTCTAGTGGTTTGCGGGATATGTATTTCATTTTGAGCGTTCCATTTACAATCAGTCCTACACTATTATGTAAGAGGTTGACAGTGTGGTCCAAAAATGAAAACCATATTGAATCACACACCCTTGTCTGCCTTAGCAAAGGGGGAATGTAAAAAATAGGCATGGGCGCAGTGGTAGAGAGAAAATGGGAACAAGTGACAAGAAGCAGATAGATTACACTACAGGCTAGTAGCAAAAATCTGTTAAAATATAGCAAATTACATACAATGCAAATGCATACAATGGCGCTTTGGCCCAGAGGCAGTGTCTCTGTTATTGGTGTGGAACCCCAGCGTTCGCTTCTGAACAAGATCGAATCCCGGTTAGGGTGGTTAACACCTTCCAGTGGACTCACCACCTGCTGGAAGGTTTATGAGAGGCTGGTACGGTGCAGTGTGATTTACGTGCCGACTGCTGCCCCCGCAACTCGGTAACGGATAAGTGGACGAAAACGTTCGCTTCTGAACAAGATCGAATCCCGGTTAGGGTGGTTAACACCTTCCAGTGGACTCACCACCTGCTGGAAGGTTTATGAGAGGCTGGTACGGTGCAGTGTGATTTACGTGCCGACTGCTGCCCCCGCAACTCGGTAACGGATAAGTGGACGAAAATGGATCGATTGACAAATACGTACAATTAGAGTACAGATGTAGGAACTAACTTCATAGTTCTTGTTAGATTTGTACTAAATAATATTATTAGTGTTTGTTAGTGTAGGGTTATGGGTCAAATGTCCCTGTCTCTGATCAATGTTTGTTTTATCTCATCAGCTATCAGCGATATGTAGAGGGAACTGGCTCAGTACTCCAAGGCTGTATGAGTACACAGGTAAGTTCTGACCTTCTGCTTAATCTGAAAAAAAAATACACTATTTGGTTTTGTTGCCCAGAAAGTGTCTTTTGAAAAAGTGCCAATTTAGCTGCCAAACTACATAGCGAAGGAATTTGGGTGTCACAACCACCCAACGTCCTCAACCTACCACGTTTCGTTGTTACGCCAACTGCCGTAAATTATGAAGAACGTATTTTGACATCATTCCGATGTATGGTGTTTAAACAAATTTTACACGGGAAATGGTTGGCAAGACGAGCAGATTAATTTGTTGTCATATGGTGCTGAAGATGCGGAAGACGGTTTTGTTTACCGCAGGCTGTTCATCGCCCGATGTACGCCATACCTTTTATTGTGCTCCATTCTTTCCTGGGAACTTTTTCCCCTTCATAATGGCTCCCAAGTGTAAGTCAGACGCTTTGGATGTTTTTACGTCCTCCATTATGATGTTATCACCATGTTAGCGTGGGTACAGTATGTACAACTTGTGAGTGCCGACTTGCAGCGGAAAATCAGTATGTTACGTCGTACAGTAGAAACGGAACTCCAGAACCTTGACGTAAGTCAAGGACCCCAATAGTGATTTTTACACTATTATTCTATTATTTGCTATTATTTATTTCTCAATTACATGTTCACTGGGAAATTTATTAGACACATGCTTGGATACATCTGATTTTTTTTTATTTTTTTTTTTATGCCTTCGTCAGTTTCTGGGTTTTTTAGCGCACATCATGTTTCGGTAAGAAAGTTCACTTAAGTTTTTGTACATGAGGCCCTTGGTCTGATGTCTGGCTTGTGTCAGTACAGCTTCACTGAGTGCAGGGCAGAAAGTATGTCCACGATCGACAAGCCGATTAACAGAATCCTCAAATGTGTTTTTTGAGAGACTGTAGGCTGATTAATATTGTTGACTTCATGGGCTTCACCTAAATTTTGAAAAGTTGCAACATTTGACACGTTCCACAAGCCACCGTTAAAATGCACACTAATAAAATGAAACTAAATTTTGGTATGTACTTTTTAAAACTTTTTGTACAGGTTTAATTGAAATATTTTTGTCATATTTCGGAATGCGGATTCATATGGGATTAATCACAGATTAATCGCATTGTGATTAAATCAACCTGTGAATAATCCGCTCAAATTTAATTGGTTGACAGCTCCACGGAATGATAGATGTTTACTGTTAATTATACCCAGGTAGTGCGACCTTCTGATAGCCTGCCTGTTGCTGTTTCCCTCGGGATTTTCATTCGGTCATTATCTAGGCTTTAAAACACTAGAGTACACTTAACAAATTGCATTTTTCCTCCACAATAAAAAAAAAAAATTCTTTTTGAAAGGAAAACGAAACTGTTTCAACCATTCAACAGCCTTGCTGGTGCGAATGAAAAGCCATCAAATCATCATGAAGAAATGTGTATCTATGGCTAATGCATGTTTTTTCTTAGAAGTGATACAGTCTGAATTTGTGTTTAACAGTTGGAGAGTGTGTTTACTGACCTCGAGCAGTGCTCGGAAGAAGAAAAACTCCAGCGGCTCCTGAAACTGAAGCTCCGATATTTTACACCCCGAGAGGTTGGAAATCTAATGGGCTTTCCCCACAGCTTCAGTAAGTCTGTGTGTGCATGTGTGTATGTTTGATAATTGGAGTATTTATAGTTGTGGCTTTTACTTATAGCAGGACAGTAGGCCTGTACCCTATTACCTTATGTACATATTATATTATACACTTTTGGAATGTGCCAAAAATATATTTTCATAATTTTGGTAACTGATTTATTCTTTGAAACTTAAAATATGAAGGCATGATATATATATATAAATATGAATATCAATTTAAAATGCTTTTATCATTTTCTACACCTATTGGGGAAACGTGGGTATTGCAGTGAAATGGAAGAAGTATAATGATTAAAAAATACCATTAAATGAAATCATTTAATTAAATTATCATCAATAAATAAATAAATTGGGGGCGGGGGGCAGGGGGGCAGGATTAAAAAGCAGAATGGGCCCATGCCTGGTATACACTCATAGCCATTTTGCACACTTGCAGCATAGGAAAACAAAACTGAAATTCATATTTACAATCAATCATGTATAGTCCCTCTAGTTTCAAACCCAACTCTCTGTGGCAAAACGTGACTTGATATCTTTAAGTTTGAGAGGTTATCTGTCTTGACCAAATCCAGTTTGAGGTCAGAGATAACCCCTTATTTGAAATGACCATTTGTGTCTTTTAAATGCTGTTGCAACTTTTTCAGGCTTCCCGGCACAAACCTCGTTGAGGCAGAAGTACAAAGCGCTGGGGAACAGTCTTAATGTTCTGGTGGTTGCAAGTCTCCTACAGATCCTGCTTTCTAACACATTGGATATGTCTCTGAAAAATAAAAATTAAATATTTTAAACCTTGTTTTTGTAATTGTGTGGAGGACAGAAAATGTTGTTTAAATTATTGCTTAAATGTATCATCATTCAATAAAATTTTGTATGAAATACATAAACGTGTCATTAAATGTCATTTAATTAATTCATTTGGTATTAATCATATCAATTTACTATATTGTGCCATTCATTTGTTTAAAATACCATTTCATTTATATAAAAAAACAATTGTTTCACTGATTAGTTATTAGATGGTTTTGTGTTGCAGTGCATATATATTGTATATATATATGTGTGTATGTATATAGAAACTCCGTTTGTGAGGAATCACAGAGGATTCACAAGGAGCTGCCAGAGGAACGTCAGCCGCAGAACCAAGACTAGCGGGCCGAGCGACAGCCACCGGGTCCGGGACAACTAGGAAAATGGCAGCCTCCGCCTCCGGAACTACTTGAGAAGTAGGAATCGCAGAATCAGGACCAGCCGGGAGCCCCTGGCTCTGGGACATTAGCATTAGAAAATGTGGTTGCTTCATTGTCTGTTTGGTGTAAGAAAAAGTAGAGAATGGTTTTGTGCGTATCGTTTCTCAGAAGGCCACAATGGAATTTTATTGAGAGTTAATGCCTTAATGCTAATTAGAGTAGTCCTATGATCCACCAATGTACAAGGGTCCCTCAGCCAATGACTTTAATTAAGATGCTATTCTGTAGCAATAGCAGCCCTGACAAGACTGAAATTTCCTTTTCTGGGCTTCTCTATCATCTATTTTATATTTGTTACAGAAGAATCCAACAACAACACAACATGTTGGGCCATGCAGCTAAAGGGGTATTGCACAAACCCAAGACAAGGGATTAAGTTGGAATATGTTGCCCATACTGGTTAAATTGATTCTAAAGTCAAGTTAAAGAACACAGGACAAAGTTAACCTACTGTATAGCGAAGTTAATATGGTGATTTATTCTCTGCCGCTAGCCTGCTCCTGACCAGGAGGCTAGTGATTCACTGCTATTTCTTCCGTCGATCCTGTCAAGAATGTGTTTTTCAGCATGTCCATGGTCTTTCAAAATTTAAAAACATAAACTACAAGGCATGGATTGCAGCAAAACATAAACTAGATAGATAGATAGATAGATGTACTTTATTGATCCCAGATTGGAAAAAATTACAACTACAACGCATAGGTTCTGTGGGCTCAAAACGCTGCGTTAAAGTCACAGCTCTGGCTTTCCGGAAGCCAGAGAGGTCCAAGTCTGACTTTCCAGTTTCACAAAAGCGGATTACAATTAGTTGCGATTTGGCCCAGAAGCAATGTCTCTGTCATTGGTGTGGAACCCTAGGGTTCACCTCCTGGGCAAGTTCGAATTCCGGTTAGGGCGGTTGGTACTTTCACTTACCACCCACCGCAACCTGGTAACAGATAAACGGATGAAAATGGCTGGACGGATTACAATTAGCTCTCGGAAGCCTGAGTTGAGGTAAGTCTGAGTGACGCTCGTGCCCGACAACATATGAAGGCTGCCTCGCAGATAACACGAACCATGTCGTGTCCCGTACCTTTTGCTTCAATCCGTTGGAGCAAGAACTGTTCAGATTTAATTAATACACTTTGTCCTCATTCTGTCCTGGGTTTTAATAATAAAAAAAAGGAAACATCACCGAAAACACTTAAAGCCATGAAAATTAATTGAGATTTAGCAATTCAATGATCCATCCACCTTATTTAATGAAAAGTATCGGATCGGTATCGGTATGATACTGGTCCGTATTGGTATCGGATTGATACCAAAATATGCAGTATCGCACACCACTAGTCTCAGGATTCTTTCCTGGCATCAATTTCTTCTAAGCAACTGAGCTGCGACGTCCGCAGGCTTCTCAACAAACGGCCATACCCTGCATATGACTGCGGACTGACTCCTTAACTCAGACTTAAGGACCTTAAAACTGCTACAGAGCAAGGTTTGCTCCACGGCGTATGTGGCCATAGCAACCAAGTCAGCGTCACGGTCCGGCCGGCTTTGTGAATCCAGAAAGCCTTTCCTGGAGCCGGGACCAAGGAAAGAGGAGTAAATACTGACCAGGATGGAAGGACCGTATATGAAGCGTTTAGGAGGCATCGTGGGGCATTAAATTAGGACAAACTTTCACTCTATGAAGCGTTTAGGAGGCATCGTAGGGCATTAAATTAGGACAAACTTTCACTTTCAAACACAAGAGCACAAACTTTACAGCAACGTACTGTAGTGGCGGACGGACAAGGGGAGATGCTGAGAGATGCTAAGATGCATGAGCCAATCAGCGTGAGGAACAGAAGAGCATGCTCAATGTCAGAACTTAGACCTTCAGTCTAAGCTCTGATACTTAAAGCCACGCCTTTTCATCCTGGCCCGGCATAAGTATAGTGACTTAGTTATCCTGGATATTGTTATTCTACTTTTGTGCAATACCCCTCAGGTCTCTGAAGATCAGTCATCTGGAAAGTAGTCATACTTTAAATTCCAAAGAAAAACTGTTTGAAAGCAATTTTATTTTTGCACCAATAAATAATTACAAACACCACAATATGATAGACAATAAGCAGGGTTTTGTCATCAAAATGCAATTGAGATTAAACCTTCCTGGTGGGAGCTATTTACATAATCATCGTCAGTAATAGATCATGAAAAACCATTAACTTTCATTATAGAATAAAACATAAAAAAGTTTTTTTTGGATAAGAATGCTGTTACAGGGTTAGTTAGTTATCAGGGCAGGAGTGCACGTTGTCAACATAACCCAATGTTCAAAGTAGTTTGATATATTGAATACATGTTTTTATTTTGTTTGTACCCAACAAATCATTTTGTATGACCCACAGGAGCTTAAAAAACATTTAATAAAGTCCATGCAGGAGAGTTCTTACCCCGTTTTTTTTTTGTTTGGTTGTTTTTTACACAGCAATGAACAATATTTGTATCTTGAATAAATAATAATCAATTGCAGAAACATTTATTAATACATGGAGCAGTTACATCTGTACAGTCTTACATTTACATCCGGCCCTTCAAGGGGAACTGTATTGCTAGTGTGCCTCTCCCCTGCCCCCCCAGTGAAAATGAGATTGACATCCCTGCTTTAGGGTGAACATGGTATTATGTTTAGTGAGAAAGGAGATGTTTCCACTGTGTATTAAACGCAGGTCAGTAAATGCCTCTTTATTATATATTCTAAACTTTTTTAATAGTGGGGTGGAGCCCCCTAGAGGGGGCGCAGGTGCCGGAGAGGGGGCTGTGAGGGGCTTCCAGTGGAATATGGCATGCTGGACATACGTGTACACCTGCTGTAATGCTTGAATGATAACAAGCCTCCAGTCACTAGGTGGCAACTCATACAGTGGTTTGTACAGATAAAAATATACAAGTTATTAGGTTCTCAATAGTATTTCAATCCACAGGGGTTGTGGGTCGAGGGGAAATTAATTTGTATCCGGGGGGGGGGGGGGGGGGGAGGGGGGGGGGGGGGGGGCAAACACTTGTTTGGGACCTTATTTCGAATACTTACAGTAACACATTTGCCACAGTTTTTTTCTAGTATTATACCTACACTACTAATATCAAATCACAATGACAAGTGTGGCTTGTGACACTTAAACACAGGATGGGACTAAATTACTCTGGCAGTCAAACAGTAACAGCTGTTTTCCTTCTTTTCATTTAAATGTAAATTTTTCTTAGCATTACAGAGAGTCGATGTGGACAAATGCAGCATAGCAAAGAATAATTGTTGTTTCTGTAGTTGGTATCAATTTTATTATTCTATAACAGGGGTCGGGAAACTATGGCTTGCGAGCCAGATGTGGCTCTTTTGATGACTGCATCTGGCTCTCAGATAAATCTTAGCTATTCCTTAGCACAATAAGCAATAAATAATTTTGCTGATATTGAAGTAAAACATTACAAAAATCATAGTGTTTAAACAGTACTTCTCAAAAAGTGGGTGGGCCCCCCCGGGCGTGAGGGGCTTCCAATGGAATATGGCGCACTGGGCATAAGTGTACACCTGCTGTAATGCTTGAATGATAACAAGCCTTCAGTCACTAGGTGGCAGCAACTCATACAGTTGTTTGTACAGATAAAAATATACATGTTACCAGGTTCTTAATAGTATTTCAATTTGTGGGGGTGTGGGTTGGAGGGGAAATGGAAACATGTCTGTCCCCAAGGGGGGTGTGACAGAAAAGAATTGAGAACCACTGTTGTTAAAATAACTTCTAAAAAACATTCTCATGCATTTGTGGCAGCAGCGTACTCTCTTTGCGTTGTGTGTTAAATAATTGCGGTAAAATCATCAGCTTGATTTTCAGCTATGTCATCGTTTTATTTCTGGCATAAAAAGTGCTGCACGACTCTAATCCACAGGGGTGTTGCATTTAATGGGGTTTTCTTTTTCGCGCTGGAGCCAGTCGCATCAAAACCATGCAGCACCAGAAGTTGCAATATTGGTAAGAAGTATTTTATATATTAGATGCTTCAGTACAACAACGTTATTTAAAAAAAAACAAAATTTAAGAGACTTATTATACCCTAACTAGAAAGTTTCCTGACCCCTGTTCTACAATAACCATCGTCATCATCCTCATCAACACAATATCGTAATTTTTGTTTTTGTTACCAGCCACCCAAAATATAATTTAGAAAACAAATACTGTATGTATTACACTGGTGTTGTACAGTTTGGCAACACTTTTGACAAAAACTCTTATTTTTAGCTTAAGGTTCAAGGGTTTTGACACATGCATTTGTCATACAGTGCAATGTGGTCCTGAGTCGCTCTAAAGCTCAAATAATCAACACTCAAATTTCTGTCAAGTGTTGTTCTTCGTTTTGGATATATAATAAGTTTGCTGAAAAGTCAAAGTAGGTTCATATCTTCACTATGTGATGAATATATTATTTGGCATTAAAATGTTAAAGGAGTAAAGCTCCTACAGCAACTGAAAAATTAAATAAAAAGAGTCAATTTTATTATTTGAACCGTTGTATTGATTATTTCTCAGCACTGATTTATATATGGTTATTTTACAGTAGTGGAAGGTATTAAATTGTAACTTAGAGGAGGGGGGCCCCAAAATCAGAATTTTTTTTTTTTAATTCCAGAGCATTTACCATATGATATAGGTTGGGGCAAACATAGCTAACATTAGCTTTTCTTTTTTTCAAATCCTGTTATGTCCTTAGACACAGAACACTTTTACATCCTATATCACAAGTACAACAATGAGCAAACAATACAATACTGCAATACATTAACAATAAAATTTACTGCATGGTCACTTTAGTGGTCATTCATCCATCTATCCATTCATCCACCCATTCAGCCATCTAGTCTATTCTCTACTGCTTAATCATAATCAAAGTCCAAGGGGAACTTGGAGCTAAACCATCAGTCATCAGGTAGAGGAGGGGCCACAACTGTTTAGTTTGTGGCTCTAAGGCATAAGAAATTAGCCCCAAATCATGATCCACATGCACTTGTAGAGTACTGCTGAATGATCCATAATTTGTTAACCTTCTGTTGACAAACAACAGGTTGTAATCCTCATTTACATCACTAGTTCCTCTTGTTTATCGCTTTTGGTACAGGTGTTAAGTTCTGTTGGCAAACTATATACTGTACTTTAAAACCTGGTCCTAATTGACCAACACGATAGAAAATACTACAATATGGTCACAACTAAAACCAGCAGCCTTCCAGTAATTTACATTGCTGTAATATAGATTTGATGAAGACGTACAATATCTGAACTGAATGTGTATCTAAAAGCTATACAATCTCTCGACCAATCAAACTAATCATATAGTTAGCCTTCACAAAATAGGCCACAGACATATGTTTATTTATAATTACCACAGAAACAGTTTCAATTGTTTTAACAACACAGAACAAATAATTGCACTGTTTTGTGTATCTTGAAGAACAATACTGACATTTTTATGGCGAACCCGTACACTTGTTTCTTCTCAGTCATTTTTGGCAAACTCGCCCGCCTCCCACCGCAGAGCCATGGCACTCTTGCGTCTCACCCTTGTAAATTCTTCTGGAAACTGGTGAAAAAGCACACATAACACACACATAATTGTATCCTTTAACAGAGGAATACAGTGGCGTTAAGGGATTAGATTGATATTGATTGTATTTTTTTGAAGGTACAACTCCACTTCTTTCTTACGGCTGACATTCAGCTTTAAACCACTGGCCTACAAATAGTAAAAATGGTCTTTGTGATGTTGGTCTAATCCCATGCAAAGCTAAAGCCAAAGTTCCCCCATTTCTGAACCTACGTATATTGGACAAGAATCATTGCCTTTCGAGACACTCAAGGTCACTTTACATCAATAAAATAACAGTAATGAAATAACCAAATACATACAATGAGTAAAGTAATGGTTTATAAATATTCTATAGGTAGTATTTTGGGTACAGATGGTAGTAGATCTGAGAATGACAGAGAATCAAGAATTAAGA